AAACTGCGACACGCAAGGAGATTTCCTTTTAATTTAATTCTAAAAATCACAAATTTACAAAGATATAACATGCACATTCCGATCATATTTTTACAATAGCAAAGATAATATAATAGTAAAATGTTCGCTAAAATCGACTGTAAAGATAGCTAATAAAACAAATAACACTAAAGACTGTTCACGGAACTATAAAACTATAAAATAGTACCTGAAGGGTGGATTTCCTCACGCTCGAACTCTCTATACAATCGTTTTACTTGCTCTGTTTAAAAGCGTGACTCATTTTAGCTTTTCTATATCTCGACTTAAAATGTCTCGTCTTAAATTACATAACGTGCGTCGATGACATAATCTAGAGGTTGCTAATAATTAACTTAACTTAACGGAACTTAATTAAACTATAATACTATAAAGTAATAAAAATGTCAACTGTTCAAAACAAATATCAATTTGTTCAGAATAAACTAAGTCTTTAAAACAGTTTAGATCGCGGACAGTTTCAGATTCTATTAGTATATGGGTACTCATCAAACTACGGGCATTCATGGCAGGGGTAGGCTCAGATTCCAGCCGTTGTGTTCTCGCCACTCGCCCACTTAACGGCTGGGTCAATGAGCTTCGGCATTGTTCTGATTGACCAATCACATTACAGCCCCCCAAAATTTGGGAGGCATAAATTTGTATTAATAATGCATAAATTTAACACAAAGGTAATAAATTAAATATGGCTAAAGCGCATTGCTGAAGCGTTCGAGAGAATGGTCGTCACTTGTTTCCAACCACCAAAATGACATGACGTCATTTTCTTCCGACTGAATATCTTCGGTTTCGCATCGGTCTCACTTCGCCGTTCGGTTCTAGCAGGCAGGCTTGCGGGTTGAACAATTATATATTTAATATATGCATGAATTAATATATTGTCTTAATTGATATTCGCACGAAATTTAAACTTTTCCCGTGTCGCTTGCAATTGCAATCATGGCTGAAGCCGCGAATTCAGATTTAATACCGGTTGATAATTGTGATAGAAATACGAAAACAAAATGGCAGAGTGGTTTTATAGGAAGCTGCAGTAGATATTTTGGATATGTCCACACAGTAGAGGAAGCAATGACAGTTATGAAGCAATACAAGTTGGATACAACAACTCGATTCTCATGCTTCAAATCAAGTAAGGACTTTGGATCCACAGGTAAAGAAGAGTTTGCTTATTATCAAATACAGTTCAACTAAACTCAACTTAAGTTAGGCCTTGTGGATATGCCGACCTCTGAGTGTGAGGAGTTTAGCCCACGTACAAGGTCTCGTCATATAAATGAATATAGAATATCAGACAATTATTATTTGTATTAAAGATGTTGTAAGTCCGTAATGTAAACAAACGCGCGAACTGCTATATATTTGTAAAATATGATATACTGAATATCTGACACTTTTCTGGTTCGCTATGCTTGTAAATGAATATGAACTAGACGTTTCAATTCAAAACAGTTCGAAAGATGCAAAATTTGTGCAATGATTGCAATCTGCGGGTCCCTCTTTGTTATGAGCAGAACGGACTTTACAGATCTTTAATATAATTATTTTCTTCATACATTATTTTCAGGTGTTTATATTCTGCACATCGGTTCATAACTATTGTCCTTATACCAGGGGTGATGACAAGAAAGAACTAGGGGCCTACAACTACCCCCTGTTGGGGAAGTCTGACCCCCCCCCCTCTCTAAGAAAAATACGCATTTTGTAAAGGAATAAACTAAGCTTCCCCGTGGAAAATTACCCACAAAAAGCAGGAAATTGTGGTTGAAACCTAACACACCCTAGCCTGGTTGTAGCAAAAATATTTATACCTAGCCCCCCTGTTGGGAAAGCTAGCCCATTGACATATATTCATCTGGACTGCCTGCTTGTATGCTTTTTGACCCGAGGCTACCGTTATGACTTGAAGATCACGAATGCTGACGAATACAAGTAAAACAGCACTGCTGGCGCAAGCAAAATTCTTTCAGGATAGATACATATACAGAGTTATAACTATTGTGACCACTCTTTTGTGCGCATGCTCGGCAAGTTTCTAGAGGCATGCATCCCATTGGATGACGGCTTGCTTTAACTGCTCGCGGAAGTTGCTGAGCACACGCAGTTGATCATTTTTTGCCCGGTCGCCTGAAAAAAGTGGGTACATGAAGACGTAAGTTTCCGCAGTGTTTACGACGGCCAGTTGCAGCTCTGTATGTATCTACTCTGTGCCAGTGAACTCTAGGTGAACATTTAGTTCAACATGTTTACATAGAGTTCACTGGCTCTGACTCCATGAGCAATCACTCTGATAATCGCAAGATCATAAGAGCAAGCATTCTCAGCAGTCAATGAGCTAGCCCCCTTGTCAAGGTACTCCCAGTGCCACCCTTGGCCCTTACTTAATAAGATTATCAATATCATTTATTACATTTTTTTCAATTTTAATATGTATTATTTACAAAGAAACTGAAATGTACAAGATTACGTATTGCTACGTTTAGACGGTACTGGACGAAATTTGGAACCGGCTGAACTTTGTCCTTTTTTCGCTTGTTTACACGCGAATTCGACCTGTTATAGGGGGTCTCAAAGTCGTCCGTCAACGTAGCCTATTGACCCGTGAAAAAGGGCTTTGTTAAATGATTGTCTAAATTATATAGATCCATTCAGCAAGCCAAGGAAGGTTTACTTCAAAGACACCAGCATTTCTTTTGATGGAACTCCTTTCTACATCATTGGTACAAAGGCCTTTGACTGCAAACATGGTCCAGACCGGAAAAAAATATTTAAGTCTAAACTTGAAAATGCCAAAAATAAGGTCAGTTATAGTCATGTTAAATACTGTGGAGGTAAAATATCTAAAACATTTTGTCATATAAGTTTTACAAAGCTTACAACGATTGTCATATGACCCTTTCCCCGGGCGATATTACTGGTGAACGGGATGTTTTGGAATATCAAATGTGACAGACTTTTTTAATTTGGAGAATGAAGACCACGACTGTCCTAAGAGACGGTTTTTGCCACAAAACACTGTCAAGTTTGACTGTCCCGCACAAATTCGTCTTTCAGAAGTGATAAAATTCCCCGATTATAAGGTAAAGTTTTAAAATTATATATAGGTATAGGAAAATTCAAATAATTTCAATATTATGACATTGTATGGTGAATTTTTTACAATTAATTGTAGATTAGTGATGATAAAGAACGCTCCAGAAGGGACATGTCAATGAAACTGAAGATTGACATAGCTAAAGGTGACCAACCTGCATATGAACGAAGGATTTACATTCAACTTCCAAAAGAAGACCAGCATAAAGATCATGCTATTGGAGAGGTTTGTCTGCCACTGTACATCACACATGTGCTCCCTTCGTAAATCGGATCCTAATTCAGTGCAACGTCTATGAAAAAAACGTTAAGTACACTCAATAGGTAGAAACTCTCACAATGGACGATTAACCTTGTAGCTCAGTACGTTATTGTCCATGCCGAATTAGTATTCCAGTGCCAGAAGTTTCAACTCTTCTGAGTCTATCGATATCATGCATAAGCTATAGGATAACTTGGAGGAACGTTATCTAACAAGTGAAAATACTTTAAAATTTTATAGGTTGGCAGTATTCTTCAGCCCATTGACAAATTGCTGACTAAGAAGATTGAACTTCTTGTTGGTGAAGGCGTGAAAACTGTACATGAAATGAAAAGACACCTAAAGAGCTACGTAAAGAACGAGTTATTTGCATCGGAGAAACCACCACCAACAACAAACAGGAGATATTACCCAACAGACATGGACATTAGAAATTGCATGTACCGAGCATCTGTGAAGTTCATATTGTCCAAAATTGATCAGGAAAACCTTGAGAAGAATATTGACGTATGGCGTGAAAGATATCCGGAAGACCGTTTCTTTTTTAGACCCTACACTGTATCTCCTGAGAATCCTGCGTTGGAAGAAGGTGATGGTGAAGTAGAGGCTGATATTACTCAAAATCTACTGTTTATTCATCAAACTATGTGGCAGAAACGTCTTTTAGCTCGATATGGTAACAAGATCAAACTGCTTGACACTACTTACAAAACAATGCGATACGAATTACCACTATTTTTTATCGTTGTGAAAACAAATGTAAATTATTTGGTTGTTGGAAGTTGTATAATCCAGAGAGAGACAACAGCGTCGATAGAAGAAGCTCTCGGAATCTTAAAATGCTGGAATCATTCATGGGAGCCCAAATACTTTATGACTGACTTCTGTCATGAGGAAATTAACGCGATTGAAAATACTTTCACAGGTAAGAATATTTCATTACAATACTCCACTGTTTATTGTTGTATAGCATAGAAAATAATATTAGTGTAGAAAATAATTGCCATGCAGTTGTTTAAAACGTCTTAATAAAAAAATCCATGCAAACTAAGTGGGCTGTAGTTTGCCGTGTTGGTTGCATCGCTACTACCAATTGACTCTTAGTTATTTCGCGACCGGGCATACACTACAAGTTCCTGATGTCATGATCTGATAGTCGTATTCTTTATCGATAACCCATTCACTTGGATGTTTTAGCCAAACTAAATCAGTTCATTTGCCTTATTTTGTCAGACACTACGACCTACATATGTGATTTTCACCGCGAACAATGTTGGGAGAGGTGGCTTCGCAAAACTGACAATGGGTTGTCAAAAAGCAGAGAAGATGTCCTGCTGTTACTTCGCAACGTTGCTAAGTCCACAACGGAAAAAGAGTTTGAAGAGAATGTGAAACTCTTAAAGAAACAAAACTTTTGGCTGACGAGTCCCGAACTACGAAAGTGGTTTGAAAACACATGGCTAGTGGAGGCAAAGGTATACAATTTTTTGTAGTGTGATAGATATAGTATTGCTTATATTGAATTAATAAGAAGCTTAGGGGCTGATTACATGAACCGTAATGTAATGAAATTTTAACCCAACTGATGAAGTATGGCAATGAGTTGAATTGTAAACATGCAAACTTTAGAGAAGCTTGAAAATAATTTAGAGCATAATTTTCGGGAAAAAACCCGCTAACTGTACATCTTTAACTGCATCTGATTTAAGCCATCTGTGATTTCATCCAAATTTCCGTATACATCAAAAGCCTGGCTAAAAATTACCCATGTAATCAGCTTCTTAATCAATTAAATTTGTTCCGTCAAATAGTTTAAATTAACTGACATACAACTATACATAATAATAATATACGTGTAATACTTGCCCATAACTGTACTTGCTGCTTTATATTGGACTTTATAGTGATGGGTGTGGGCATTCAGACAGAACAGGTTCATGGTCAATATTAACACCAACAATGGGATAGAACGGCAAAACGAGTTGTTGAAGTACCAATACCTGAAGCGAAATACCAACAAAAGACTCAGTGCAATAACGATATTGTTAGAAGAGTTTCTTCCTGATAAATGTAACAGGTAAATAATATCCTATTTTGAATTCGTCCAGACAGACCATTGCGAATCACCAACAACGCACATGTCATTATATCATGGATATGGACCGTTAATACGGAGAGAATTATTTTCATTCTTGTATTGTAGATATTTGGAGCTGAACACAAGATGCAGCGATCAATATCGATGATATAACACCAATGTCCCAAAATATCTGCACAATAAACCTCGTCAATTATTAGAACACTGCATGAAACGGATAACATCAGCGGAAGAATTTCAACTCTGTGATATTAAAGAAGTTGACAACCAGTGTGGAGTGTTTGAAATAAAGGCACAGTCAAAGGATCGTTGGTACAATCTATCATTTGGTTCAGGAGATATAATGCCTAATTGTGAATGCTTAGATTTTGGACAAAATGGTCTGCCATGTAATCATTTTTTCCCAGTGTTCAATCACTTTCCCTGAGTGGCAATGGGATTCTTTACCAAAGAAATACCGTGAAAATCCTCACATCTCCTTAGACCAAGATTTACTCTTTAGTTGTCCATTGAATGACGAACATATTGCATATGAAGAAACATCTCGTCAGCCGTTAAAAGAAATAAAACAAAGCAAGCAAGAAAGTCAGCAACACTCCCGACACAACTGAAGTTACAATACGGCAAGAACAAATGAAGTGCAGGGAAATTTTAAAAGAACTGACATCATTAACATATGTTTATGATTTACAAGCTCTTGAAAATCTTACGACTGGCTTAAAACCGCTTTTGTACAACTTTGAACGTAACCAGCTTACCGATGAAAAGGAAAACTGTGAAACCGAAAACAAGGAAGTGGCAAAAGATCCGAACAACAAAATATGTATAGAAAACAAAGACATCTCAAATGTCAAGCAGAAAGAAAAAGTATGTTGTTCCAAACCAGACAAAAAATACCTTTCTCTACCAGTGAGACAGAAGAAAAACCAATACAATAAGCAACCTGGAGAACATGCATCTATGATGCGCAAACACTACAAAGTCGATCTCCCAGTAGATGATGACTTTGAATCAAAGAAAAGAAAGAAGTTAGAACCAAAGAACAGCTGCATACTACCACAAGAGACAACGACTATATCATACCATTCAAACCAACAACGTCAACTTGACACGAAAGATACGAAATCGAAGGGTGATATACCACGCCTTACGCAGATCCCTGATACGATAGTTATGGAAACATCCTGGAAACATTAGCTCAATTTGCTTGTCCTCATGATCAAAGCCATTTCACCAACATATCTCAACTAACAGAAAATAAGTTCAGTGAAGAATCGGTAGTCTCTACCAATCTTTCTGTTGAATCACTCCCATATATCACAATTGATGAAAAATCGCCTGACCCTGTGGTGTGGACTTCAATAGAGAACAGCTATGATACAGGTGATGAAGTCCCTTTGGTTTGGTACAGTACAACCAAACCAAGGCTACTAGACAAACATACTTGGTTGAATACGCTGGCCAAGCGTTACTTAAGAACAAGTTTCCAAAGATAGATGGTCTTAGAGATCCTTCCAAATATTGTTTTAGAAGTTGCTCCTGCCAAATCTCCATTCATTCAACCACTGAATACTGGAGGACACTGGGTTTGCTGCACGACGATTTTAACAAAACCCAACTCGGGCACAGTCAGAGTTGTCAACAGCCTATACAACAGACCAAGTTCACATGTTGTTGAGCATTCTTGTTGCTTGCTAAGACATTCTGGTTGTACAATGACATTCTTGAACGAAAAAGTGCAGAAACAAATAGGTGTTAGTGAATGTGGTCTTTTTGCATTAGCATTTGCCACAGATTTGTGCTATGGTTTGGACCCAGCAAATCAACACTATGACCAAACTACCATGCGTCAGCACTATGTCAGTTGTCTCGAATCTAAAGCCATGGTCCCCTTCCCTAAAACAACAAAGAGAGTACCATGCCATGCGACTTGCATAAAAACACAAGTGGATATTTTCTGTATATGCAGACAACCAGATGATCATAAGCAATATGTTCAGTGCTTCTGTTGCCAGGAATGGTACCATCCAACATGTGCTGATATTCCAACCACAGTTATCAACTCTAAGGAGAGGTGGAGGTGTAGAAAATGTTTAGTTTCCATTGCATAAATTTCTTTGAGGCTGATAATTAGCATTGGCCAGTATACTAGGTAAATAAATATGCCATACGGATGTCAGATATCAAGTAAGTTTATCAAGAAGTTGGTAGGAATAACCAGACTTAAATTTGTAAATTTGATCAGTGGGTTTCTCCAGACAAGATTAATTCTTCGAATCCCTTATCCATCAATAGATCAAAGTGCAATTTTTGGTGAAGTACCTTAAAATTGTTATGCAAAATTCTTCCTGCTGATTTTACTAATGTGAAACAGATCACTCAAGCATAGTACGATTTTAAATAGTGTACACCAAAGCAGTGTATAAAAGCAGCGTACACTGATCTTTTCCCAGCATACCCCAAAGGGAAAGGACTGAAACCTGACTACATGTAAATATCTTTATCTGGAAGTAAACATTACTCAGGACTGATGTTTGTGCATGGTGTTACTCTGAGTGTGCATCCACACCAGGCAAGCTGAAAAGTTTGCCTGACCACAGTGGGAATCGAACTGCAACCTTTGGGATACTAGTCCAATGCTCCAAAGGTTGCAGGTTCGATTCCCACCATGGTCAGGCAAATTTTTCAGCTTGCCCGGTGTAGATGCACACTTAGAGTAACCTCACAAACATCATGTTCACCTGAATACATAACACCAAAACACACAAAAAGTATACCCAGGACAGAATTAAGTTGTTAATTTAAAAGAACTAGCAAAGGCTAGATGTGACTTTTTCTGGGTTGTCTTGTTTTTCATTCATATAATTATTAACCCACTAAGGTATGGCATATTGTGTCCTGCATCACACAGGGAGCCCAAGCGTTGACCTGTGTCTGTTGTATCTTTTTCAGTTTAATTATTTTAGTGTCTTTATATTGCTTTTTAATTGAATTATAACACTACATTACACTAATATGTTATATAATAATAAAAATACCTCTGTAGTCTAACATATAATAACAACATATAAGTTGATTTGTATATAAAAGCACCGCCTTTCGAACCTGACAGCCCGTTCAAACAATGCCGTCAACTTTTGGGAATCAATGATATAAACAAGGAAACAAACTCGAATACAACTTGAAATGGTTAAAATTTAAAATTAAATACATTAGGTCCAGTCAGGTCGGAGCGTTAATGCTACAAAACGTCACTATTAAAAACTATAGCAATTTATAAGACTCTAGGGGCTTTTATTTCACAAAATTTTTCAATGGCTATGTACTTTAGACATATCATATAGCCGAATTTCAAGCTAAAATTCGTTTTAACAAGCACATACAGCTTCAAAATAAAACATTCCCGTATTGTAATTTCATCCCTTGTCTTGTTTCCTATTTTCAGTAGAAATAACGTGGTGTTTTTATATAATCTAATAATAGATCTTAAATAAATAAACTGAAAAACATACAAATACAAATCAACTTATATGTTGTTATTATACTGTATGTTTGACTACAGGAGTATTATTATTATATAACATATTAGTGTAATGTAGTATTATAATTCAATTAAATTAAAAAGCAATATAATGACACTAAAATAAATAAACTGAAAAAGATACAACACAGATACAGATGAATGCTTGGGCTCCCTGTGTGCATCATTTGCCCTACTTTTATCTTATAACACTAGATGATTTTACTTGTCCAGATCATAGCTTGCCCTTTATCGGGTTTATATAAAAATTTTTAGAATGTCCTGTTGGGTTTATGCCCACAGAGCAAGTGTATGCAACTGAATGAACTAAAGTTATTCTTTAAGATACAAGGCCAAAGTCTAAGAGAAGGAGGACACAGTGGCTTTCAAACCATGTGATGGAGTCCATTTTCCATTGAGTCAATATATCAGCCTTATATCAGGTAAAACAAACACGGCCGTAGCTAGACCGGGGGGGGTTTCCCATGTCTACCTAGATGCCCACAATGTGTATTATGTATATATAAAATGTTGTAAACATTTCAATTATAAGTTTCCTTGTGTTCATTAAAATATAGTATAATTAAAGCATTAATTTCAATACTGATGATGTTTTGGGGAACAGTGGGTATGGGCATTCCCTATTATAAAGTACAAGTTTAGGTCTTGTAGTAGAGTTTTTTGTGTTATTACTGTATAAAATTGTCTTGGAATTGGCATTGGGGTACATATATTTTTGATTTTTCATATATTTATAAATACGAGCGGGAATAAGGCGAAAGATACGAGATTCTCGATCTATTATTAATATGTAGAAGCAAAAATATATTAAGCAGAAAAATAACCTTACCTAAAAGGCCAAATTGTACAATTTTACCGTCCAAAATTGTAAAGTCCATAATTGTTATTTCGCCTTCGTTTTGGGGTGTTTGCGTATTTGACGGCGATGTACCAATGCGAAACCGAAGATATTCAGTCGGAAGAAAATGACGTCATGTCATTTTGATGGTTGGAAACAAGTAATGACCGAAATGAATTGGTCAGCCAGAGGTAATGTATTCAAAGATTCAAAAGATTTATTTGTACCAACAGTAGTACATAATTTAGAAGTATATAGTTACACAATTAAACAAATAATCGAAGCACAGGCTATTTGGAATAACCCCAAAGCTAATCTAGCCAAATAGACCAGCATATTATTGGATTAATATATAATAGAAGGATGAGCAGATGGTTTTACTAAAATTTTAGACACAGTATGACTGGCACAAAAAACACAGACACACAAAAAAAACAGGAAAGAAAACAAACAAACAAAAATAAACACAAGTCATGTTCTAAAGTCAGTACGAGTTTAAGAATGTTGAAGTATTATGTTTCTTGAAACATTTTTTGCTCATTGCTTTAACATTTTCGTTCAGAGTATTCCAAATTTTAATAGATCCCACATATCTAATGCTAAATTTTCCATAATTGGTTCGTACAGAAGGCATATAAAATGTGCATTTTGATGCTTGTCATGTATTATATTGATGTACCTGATTGGTTGGCGTAAAAAAGTTATCAAAAGCACGAGGAAGAGTATGATTATTAAAATCGTGCATAAACAGCAAATTTTGGAGAGAAATTAAATCTGAAAAAATACCAAGAGCTTTGAATAATGGACTTGAGTGTTCGTCAAAATTAGCAAAGGTTATAGTCCTCACAACTCTCTTTTGCAAAACAATAATAGGATTTTAGATTTGATTCATATGTATTACCCCACAATATCAGACCATAAATTAAATATGGATAAATCAAAGCATAATATAAATTAACAAGAATTTCCGTATTTACATTGCTATGGATTTTAAACAGCTTCTCTTTTAGCAACTTGATGGATGAATTATAACGATGATATAAATACGATTGAATCAATACTTGAGCAACACTTCAATTGGAATGACAGTAAGAAAATAAACTACAACCTTTCACTGCCATTATTCAAAGCCTAGTTAAACTAGCCTAGTTTGTGCTTTACTTCCTGTCTAATTTTGGAAAGTTTACAAAATAATTGCATAAATTGCAAACTTTCCGAAAGTGGGGTTTCCAGGCTTAAAGGGCCGGATTTGGAACTCTGGGCATCTTGTTGCCCTTATTTGCCTCAATGTCTTATTACAAATATTATGACTAATTGAAATAAGTATGTGATTAGTATAAATGTTTAGAAGATGAGTGTTTGTGTTGTATCTGATATACACCATAGTATACAACAGCCAAGACATTGATTTGTATATCTGACACAGGATGGGGATGGGGTACCTTAAGAGACCGCATCACTCTGACACTATCTACTGTAAGTTCTAATAATAAATTATTCTTTTCTTAGATTAGGAATTCTGATTTTTTAATAACAATGGAGAATTTTGTATAAGGTAAAATTGTAGTAGAAATTACCCTTTTTACAACATGTCAATTTTCGATACAACCTGCAAATGGAAGAAAGAATAATTTTTTCCATCTGTATGATATTTGTTGTTTTAAAAAGAACATGCTTGTGCTACTCGAATAAATATGGTAACAACAATATTTTAAAAACTCATTAATTCATGAAGAAAATACAAAAGAAATGAATGTTTAATCAATGTTTGTAAATCGAATAGACATTTGTCCTGATTTACATAAACTTCAGCTTTGATTTTCTCGGCTTAGACAATGTTTATTATTTAAATTACTTCTCCAATGAACTCATAAGATGGGTAGTTTTCTAAGCACATTAAAACTTTTGCATCTGATTTTTATCTGATATACAAACTCTCACCTTTGGCTCGAGTTTGTATATCAGATAAAGATCGGCTGCTCATGTTTTAACTAGTACATGGAACCTTGGTTTCAGGTTTTAGAAGTAGTTATACTTTGAAGTTCAATCCGATCCTATTTGTTTTCTGGCAATAAGCCGTCTTCAGGGCATGTGGGCACCACTCTTGTAAATCTTGCAAGAAACCGTGCCATGCTATTACCTTGTGTTCTCAGTCTTGCAAAGAAAAAGGCTATGGAGCACAAGTGATTTGCAACAGTTGCAGCCACACAAATTTGATGAAGAAGGGTGCAAAAGTGGGGAAAATAATTAAGGAATCAGGTACAGTACGGCCCTAATGAAAGTTAACATTGTGTAACGAGCAAGTTCGAGTGAGGGGCTATCGAGCGCGATTTGACCCTTAACGAGAAATCTGCGAGTTGCGAGAACGCGAGGGCGAAGCGAGCGAGCGTTCTCGAAAATTATCGAGCGAGTGTTCTCGAAGACTTTAATTAGATATCGAGTGAGGGTTCTCGAAAATTGTTTGTATCGTGCGAAATCGAGCAAGAGTTTGACCAACATATGGTGAAATATAGGATAATTGCTGTTTCCTTGCATTGGCACACGGCACATATTTTGACATATATTTACCAGTTCCCTAAAAATATAACTATGATAGGGTGATAGCAGTTATATTATTTCGTTACTCACCTTTACACAACCTCAAGATAAACAAAATTCACTGGTTAAATCAGCATCTGTTTATTCGAAACTTGTCATTTTTCAGCATCAAATATGAATGCGATATGCATGTA